CCAGCTCACCGAAAATTTCCTAAATTCAACAAAATGGTAGAAAAGTTCACTTACTTTGAGGTGTGTATGTAGAAGGCTCCTGGATGATGATGATGATGATAGGATTTAGAATGGGGGTGGAGGAGCAGGAAGAAGAGAAGGCATTGGGGTGGAAGAAGTCACCCCATGGCACCATTTCACCCAGAAAATTTTAGCTCTCTTGGTGTAATTCAAGATTATTTTCTTTAAATCAACACTGCACTGCATTATATATTGTCAATATGTAAAATATATTTCAAAATGACCAATAATTTGCTTGGAAACACAGAAAAAAAGCGTTTAGTTGAAGAGAGTTTCAAGCAAGATGTTACCTCCAGTGAAAACAGAGAGAGACTAACTCCTGTTTGCTGTGTTAAGAGGCTGGATGCCGCACATTAAACTAGTCACTTTACCTTCAATTATGTTCAATAATTGTTAAAATGACAAAAAAATTGAATATTAAACTTTTAAAATTATTGAATAGTATAAACTTCTTGATATTTACTAAAATAGTAAGGAATTTAAGCCCTAGAACCGATTAATGTATTGGCGGACTGATACTAAAGCTGGTTGCCCGGTCAGTGCAAGCGAAAACATGTTGAGGTCGGTTCGTAAGAACTTCGTTAACCGAATTTTTTTTCGTTAACCCAATTGAAGATCCTTATGGAAGGCAGTTCGTTAATCGAAATTACGTTAACCGAGGTGTTCGTTAAACGACTGTGTATATATATATATATATATATATATATATATATATATATATATATATATATATATATATATATATATATATATATATATATATATATATATATATATATATATATATATATATATACACACAGTCAACCCTCACTTTACGCGGTCCCACATTCCGCGTTTCCACGTTTACGCGGTACCCTGCCGAAACCGGGATGCTCACATCCCGCGGTGTGTGTACCCCTTTACGCGGAGAGTGTCTGGCACGACGCTATTTTTAGATTCGCCCCTCCTGCCTGCTCCCGCCTCCGCCTGGGCAAGCCGCGCGGTAAGGTTGCGCAGTACATGTCTCTGTTGCGTTATCAGTGACGTCATATGACGTATTGGACTGTGATTGGCCATGCATCCCTACCTCCCTCCGCTGCTAGCTGTAATTGGTTTAAAGTAATATGACGTGTCCACCCGGGGGAGGGAGGGAGGGAGGAAAGACGACGCTTGACCTGGACTTCTTGGTGGAGGCATGGGATCAGCTGTCTGTAGCAACTGTTCGTCACGCATGGAGACATGTGTTGCAAGGCATTCCGGCCGTTAGGCAGAGTCAATCTGTGACTGGTGAGGTTCAGACTGTTGCAGTAGCAGTGGACCTTGCCAGAGAAGCTGCGCAGAGTGTTACAGCTGCAGGCTTCTCCGAGACCACCAACGACGACATCCTGGAGGTGATAAGGGATCCTGATGTGACTACCGACGAGATGGTAGATGATGATGACGTCAGTGAAGAGGCAGGTGGTGCGTCATCCCAAGAAGAACGCCGCTTATCCCATAGTAATGTTAGGGGTGCCATCGAGTGTATCGAGAAAGTCAAGCTCCTCCTTTCCGACGACCCTGACGCAAACAGGTATGAAATCTTCACTACCCAGCTGTTGCAGACTATGGAGCCCTACATCAAGGTTTATCACGACAACATAAACACCAGCCGTCAGCAAAGCATAACAGAGTTCTTCGCCCGCAACCCACCACAGCCAGCCCAAGCCAGTGTTAGTGACAGAGGCAGAGACAGTGATGATGACTTTGAGGGATTTGTCAGGGAGGCCCTGACAAGTGTGGATGACAGTGATGGTGACTCACCTGAGGGCCAGTAGCCTGCCCTCTGCCTCGGAACCAGCCTCCATTCCCGTACGCCGACCCATCTCTTCTACTAATGTAAGTGTTAACCCCAACCTTGTTTTTTTCTAACCTAACCTTCAGTTCATTGACTGTTCCCTTCTATATTATGTGTGGGTGAATACCATCATAAAGTTAAGATGTTATTTTTAGTAAAACGTACGTATTGTGTCGGGAAAAAGTGGAGTTTGGGTGTCGGCCCGGTCTCTATTTCAATTAATCCTATATGTTATGTTGTTCACTTTACACGGGCCGCCGTGGGTTGAATTAACCGCGTAAAGTGAGGGTTGACTGTATGTTTTAAATAATACTTACTAATGTAAAACAAAAATTCTACTCACCAATAGTGGTAAAGTTTAAAACATAAGGACAGCAATGATGATGTGTGAATTTTTACTCAGATGACGAAGTCATCAGGTTCAACTTTGGCTGAAGCTGTAGCTTTCCATAAAGATGTCATAGCTGTTGCTGAAACTGTTACTGAACCTGAAGTTGTTGATGAAGCTGCTTATGACGTTGAATTTCATGGTGTAGCTGAAGTTAATGGTTTAGGCCTTCAAATAATAAAGCTGTCAAAAGAACATTGCACAGCTGTTTTCTTTTCCCATTACAGGCATCCCCCGCGTTACGGAAGGGTTCCGTTCCTGGAAAATTGACCGTATCGCGAAATTCTGTAACACGAAACCTGTTTTCCCATTGACTTCCATTATAAAACTAGAGATGCGTTCCAAAGAAATTTTTTCGGCCCCAAAAAAGTAATTCAAGCACTTTTATTAATGAAAATAAACATTTATAAACACATATAATACAGTACAGTGAACCCTCACTTTACGCGGTCAATTGATCCCACGGAGGCCCGCGTAAAGCGAGAAACGCGTAAAGTGAACAACATAACATAAGGGATTAAATGAAATAGAGACCGGCTGACCCCCAAACTCCACCTTTTCCGACACAATACCTATGTTCTAGTAAAAATAACATCTTAATTTTATAATGGTACATGCACACAATTAATACTTAAGAGAAATAGAGAAATACAGTCGCCAAGTTAATGTCCATTCAAATAATGGACTCAACTCCCTCCCCCTCTTCTCACACTCCTGGCTCTTCCCTCTCTGAGAAATGTTTGGGGGAAAAAACACTAGATTTTAAGGTACAGTAATAAATAATACCTCAAACTAAAGTTAGGATAATATAATTGACATTGCTGGATTCCTTGTAAGACCAGGAATATTTTGAATATAAATGTCATATATTTTGCACAAAAGATAACATATTTACTCAGAGTAAACAAAATACTTAGAGTAGATCTAAAATATGTATGTCTAATGCAAAATCTAAGATGTTTATAATCAAAATGATCATCAAATTGTAAGAATTCCAGCAATGTAAATTATATTCTGGCCAGGTAATTTGTATGAATTTTATGAGCTAAAGCAAATATCTTCAATTAATAAAAAAAAAATATATTCTTCACGACACTATCTGTCAATCAAAGTACCCCACCTTGCCTCCCCCCCCACCCCCCACCAACCCTCCCTACCAGAGAAATGTGTGGGAGAAACCAGAATATTTACCTTTTTAGTAATAAATAATGCCTCAGACTAAAGTTAGGATAATATAATTGACATTGCTGGATTCCTTGCAAGACCAGGAATATTTTGAATATACACTTCATATATTTTGCACAAAAGATAACATATTTGCTCTGAGTAAACAAAATACTTGCATTAGATTTAAAATTTGTATGTCTAATGCAAAATCTATGATGCTTATATTCAAAATGATCATCAAATTTTAAGAATTCCAGCAATGTAAATTATATTCTGGCTGGATAATTTGTATGAATTTTATGAGCTAAATAAAAAAATTATACTTCACCCGCGTACATGAGTAGATGCACCACGTAAAGTGGGAATTCCGGTTCTGGCAGGGTACCGCGTAAATGTAGAAACGCGTAAAGTGAAACCGCGTAAAACGAGGGTTCACTGTACATTAAATAATTTATGATATACCTTCTTAAAACACCAATTCAGGGGTTAATATTGAATAATATTGCATTATACAGCTATGTGTATGTTTATTTGAGTGTCCTGTCATAGGAGTCCGTTTTCTCTCACTTCAGGACGCCTAAGTCGTCCGTTTTCCCTTAATCTTAGAGTGCACCAGAGACTTTGTTATTTCTTAGTAGTAACACAGAATTTGATATTGCAACTGGGGTTGCAATTGTTGAGGCAACTTAGGTATGTCTGATTACAGTTGGAATATTCAAGATCCATTGTGAGTGATGTTTAAAGCTTCAACTGTCTTTATGGTTGGTAAAACTTGTCAAGTCTGTCAGTCTGAATGGCATGTGTGAGGCCTTGTGTTTGTTAAAATTTACCCCAATTTCCGTAAGGGCGGATTTACGGGCCGTAACATGAAATTATTGGTCATAATTTACAAATTCCGTAACCCGGGCTTCCATAACGCGGGTGATGCCTGTATACATCTTTATGTGGAGGTCATTTGTGTTTTTTACGTCCCTGTTAATTTTAATGCTTTGTTCTGTTAATGGATCCACTTCACAAAATATGTTCATTGTTTGCTCCATAAAATATCCACAGACCTCTCACCCTTTTCATCTCGTTTTAACACACCTAGTTTCTCGGCTAAGTCATACACTTTCTTTTAGCTTTTGAACCAGCATTACCATCACTTGCTCTCTTGCTCATGTTGAATAGGGATGCAAAAATACCGTAAGACACCTGAGAAAGTTTTTCTCCTTTTCCTATTCAGATGCATAAAAACAAAATGCCCACCAGCTGCGATTCTTTATACCAGTGATGCTGGCGTCACCACTCACAAGCCCAGCATTCTCCGTGCACAAGGCGTGTGTTTTTTTTTAATATATATTAGGATTTAGTCATTATTTATATGAAATGTAACTTTTAAAAAAAAATTTCTTCTAATTTTCTCGTAAATACGAAGAAAATAATGGCATAAATTGAAATGGGTCCTAAATTAACTAGGGTCTTAAATATGCATCGTCATTAGTTGAACTGTCATTATTAGAGGCTTTCCTGTACAGTATTTCTATTCATTCAAAAAAATCCGACTCCACTCCCCCATAAACTCCTGGATTCACCCCTGTTGGGGGATGACTATACCATATTATTGCTAAGATTTAGAAGCAAACAAAATAAACTCAGAGGTTAAGAATGTCAAAAAATAGCCAAATTGTGATAACTAGAAACTTTGGTGTTACAGCTTTGAATACACATTTAAAGCTTCCTCCACTGACCCTTTACAGATAAGGTACCCACTAACTCAGTGACCCTAATAAATCTCCAATCACCAGATCAGTTACAAAATTAATCTAACAGATATTTTTTTTTTTACAGTGAATACTCACATCTCCACATGCTACGGAGCAGAAGTTGCTGTCACGGAAGAACTCTGAGCTGAGGCCATAACACCCACAATTTTTGCAGCAACAAATGTCGTCTGATTCTCTTGTGGACTTATTTCCCTGGGGTTCAGAGTCTTGAGAATTATCAGAAAATATTTCTTCATCTTTCACAATCTCACGGTAGTTGGGTTTGCGAGCATGATGTCGAGGCGTCAACAGATCTGCCTTCTTAATTTGGTGGTTTTTAATCTCTTCTAGATCTCTGTCTTCAACAATCTCCACAGCATTAAATTCATTCATCTTGAACTTCAGGTCACTTCCGTTAAGTTTTCCCACACCATTCTCCCACCTTAATAGATCTGAAAACTTAATGTGTTCAGGTTGAATATCATCCCTATTTGCAGGAACTTTGGATTTTATTTTTACTTTTGGATCTCTGCAATCAATGTCACTAAGCACAGGAATTTCTTCAAAAGTGTCTTCAACTTTTTCTTGCTTGATTTCTTCTTTTGTTCCTGGTACCGGACTTAAACTTTTCATCTGTTCTTGTGATTTACAAAGGAGGTTCTTCAGTACTTCCTTATTAACTTCCACTATTTCTGGCTTGTCATCATAACACTTCAATTCCTCTCTCACATCATCTTCCTCATCAACATCTACACACTCAGGTACTCTTTTTGGCCTTTGTTGACTGTCTGGAAGGTTTTCTGGTACCGCTAAATGAGCTTCTGTGCCATTTTGCTTATCACCATGAAATTCCCCTCCCAGAATGTCAACAGCTTTCTGGAGTAAGTCACCTTTGTCTCTGAAACACAAGAGATACATTTAAAATATATTTCATTTCTTAATAAATTCTAGTTCATTCACCATTAATCTTAAAGATTGTTTTGGGACAAAATTTAAGCATTACTCTCTTAACATGTTGATCTTCCACAGCTTAGCTAACAAGAAACTGGCTAAGATTCACAATTAGCATTACTCACCTCTTAGTTGCAACCACAGTTACATCTTTGAGGTTTGCGAGTGTATTTTCATCTGGCACAGATGATTGTGGAATTGGAACAGTTAGTGGAACAATGACAGGATCAGGTATTTTAAGTGCAGTGGGCACTGATCCAGTCACCGAAACAGTCACAGATCCTGTGCCAACAGCATGGGCCAAAGCAGTGCCAGCAACAACTACAGGAGTATCCTTCCGGTCCTCTCCCTGCTTCCCACTCTGAACCAGAGGTCGAGCTTCCCGTAAAACTGCCAAATAAATGGAACTTTTAAATTTATTAATGGACAATATACCCCTAAAAGATTTGGCATTTTTATTAAAAATTTAACAATTATTCCATAACTGCCACCCATTCAAGGAACAGCATTATAAATAACTACTTTTCTAATTACCTTATGGCAAAATTTTCTCTCTGCAGCTTGTAATATGTTCTAAACAATGTATGGATCTTGGATCATATAGAAATGTTTTCTAAGCACTGCAACAACTAAGTATCGTGACATTTTTGAAGTGTTAACAGTGAGCCAATGCTTCAAACTTTTGCCAAAAGAACAATTTACATGTTTGGCAGAGTATGAGGTAATAAAAGCTGTGAACACTTGCTTAAGAAAATTTATGAGCAAGAAGTAAAAGTGCCATAGATACACTGTAATCAAGCAGGGAAATATGAAGAATGGGCAAAACGGCACATATATGGTACAGTATATGCATTTACTGTCTTGAAACTAGTGACTGGGACTAATGAAAACTATTAAGAATCCGCCCTTTAGAAACAATAGCCCTAATAACGAGCATTTGGCAACAAAGGAAGAGGTCAGGTGAGCACAGATGGTACAGAAGCAACGTCTTTGTCTCAATAGGAGAAAAAAGGTCCCACCGAACTCTTGAGTTCTTTCCAAAGGAGAGAAACTTATGACAAACCCTCTTAAAAACTCTTTATATGCATCTGCAAACTGTATTCATAGAAGTAGCCAACAGTGCTAGTCCATCTCTACTTGGTCTCTTTCCTCTCATGTGCAGGCTTGACACAGCCCCTGCCCCTATGAGGACCTTGATCTCCTATCGGGAAGCACCTTTCCCGATAGTCTCTCCCTATTGGGAGAAATGGGGTAAGACTGAAATAATTAAATATTCTAAGATTTTTAACATATTAGCCCTGTCTAAAGTAGTTCTACTACTTAAAATCTTCTCTGAAAGGGTAATACCCTTAATGAATACATAAGAGTAATTCTTTAACCTTTCTACAAACTGACTCTAATCAAATATTGTGAGAGATATGATGATGCATGTGGAGGATTGTGTGTACAGTATATGTACTGTAACTCATTAGTCTGAATCTTCCTTAGAATAATAATGTGGTTTCATTTTATAAAACCTCAAAAGAAAATCCTTCAGGGAAATCTACATTATTATTCACTACCTTCCTTGCAACCAACCCAGCACTAAAGAAGATTAAGATTAGTGGGTACACACAATCCTCCAACTGAGTCACCAGATCTCTCTTGCGATTTACCGTCTATTTTAAAAGGTCCAACATTGAGGAAGACCGGCCCAATAGAGGCCTTTATTGTGCTAAAAGATGATTAAAAAACAGGTAAGAGAAAATGAAAGAGGGGAGAAATATTCTCCTACCAAATTTGCAAGATTCAAAAAGTCTCGATATACAGTAGACCCTCGTTAATTCGGACCCCTTTAATCCGGATTTCGGATAATTCGGACAAAATCTGAACGAACTTTTTTTTTTTTTTTAGGAATATTACCTATGCGGACCTTAAGCTAAAATGCTGGTCCACCCACTGCTGGGATAAAACACCAGCATCTTTTTGGTTAAATGTCACATCTCCACCACTAGTGTGTGGGGGGGGGGGGTGGAACTTTTAGCTTCAGACAAGAAAAATATTTACCATTTACTGCCAGTAAACAATGGAAACGTAAAATATGTACCAATTAGTAATGAAAAGTTGTGCAGTTCCTTCAGCAATGAAGCTCACCAACTTACAATAGGCTAAATTACCTTACAACGTGTTTTCAGTAGTCTATGTTGAAGTTCTTAGCACAGGCTAACTTATCATATCATATACGGTATCACAGTACTCATTGATCTACAAAAAATACTGGTAATAAAAACCTTTTCGATATTTCACACGTAATATAATACCCGGTAATCTACTTCAACCTCCTATTGTTTACAACGACGCATGACGCTGGTGAGCTGTTGAGTATCAATCAGCTAGACGGTACACGTGTTTTTCGAATTGTTTGCAGTTAAAAAACTGTTACATCACACGTATATTTTACCTAAACTGTGCCTGAATGAATATATTCTCGGAAATAAATAGTAGTTTTGCTGAAACGTGATGTATTTTACTGTAAAATACAGAACTGTACTGTTAGGTATACTGTGCAATAATAAGTAAAAAACAATAGAATACAGTAGGGTATGCTATAACGAACGGATTCTACTACGAATGTTCCTATAACGAACGGTTTTACCTGTAAAATTGAGAATGCTATAACGAACGCAACTTCTACAACGAACGCAGATGAATACAGGATTATTTCGTCTGGCGCATGAATTATGTTGTACCGCGGCTCACAACAAGAGCGTCAGGCGCCATCTTTGACTCATTGTGTAGCCAGTGCACCACTGAACTTGCTGAAATTTCGTCTTTTGATGTGGAAATTCGTGTTATTTGTATAACTATTTTGTTATACAAGTGTACAATTGTAACAATGAATCGTCCAAAGCGAGTGAGAAAGCTAATAACCCTTGAAACTAAGAAAGAAATCATAAAGAAGCGTGAGAATGGAACAAGCATTGCGAAACTTAGTGATGAATATGGGATGGCTAAATCGACTATATGTACGATTTTGAAGAATAAAGAGGAGTTGAAAACTGTGCAAGTGGCTAAGGGAATCTCTAGACTTAGCAAAGCAAGGTGTAATGTGATTGAAGAGATGGAAAATTTGTTCTTAGGGTGGATAAAGGAGAAAGAAATGGCAGGTGATAGCATTAGTGAAGCTATAATTTGTGAGAAGGCCAGACAATTGTTTGAGGACCTTAAAGCTAAGACTCCCAGTGGAAGTGATGGTGATGTGCCAGTGTTTAGGGGTACCAAGGGGTGGTTTACTGGTTTCAGAAGAAGAAATAAGTTACACAGTGTTGTGAGACATGGTGATGCTGCTAGTGCAGATAAGGAAGCAGCTAGGGAACACCATGACATTTTTTTAAATGTGATTAAAGAGGGAGGCTTTGTTTCTCAGCAGGTATTTAACTGTGATGAAACTGGACTTTTTGGGAAAAAAATGCCTCGCCGTACATACATTACCAAGGAGGAAACTTCTGTCCCTGGCCATAAGCTGATGAAAGACAGGCTTACCCTCCTTCTTTGTGCTAATGCTTCTGGTGACTGCAAGATAAAACCACTCCTTGTGTACCATGCAGAAAACCCCAGAGCTTTCAAAAACATTAGGAAGAACAGCCTTGGTGTTAAGTGGCAGTCAAACCCAAAGGCTTGGGTGACCAGGAGTCTTTTCTCTGAGAGGGTGACTGAGATGTTTGGACCCAGTGTTTGGGAATACCCCAGGGAGAATAATCTTCCTATAAAAGCTCTATTGGTGAGGACAATGCACCAGCCCATCCTCCTAATTTGATGGTTGAATTGCCAGAGGAGTTTAACTTCATCACTGTGCACTTCTTGCCACCTAACACAACACCTCTCATCCAGCCCATGGATCAACAGGTGATTTCAAACTTTAAGAAGCTGTACACAAAGGCACTGTTTAGAAAATGTTTTGCGTCCACTTCTTCTAGTGATGTTAGTTTGAAGGAATTTTGGAAGAGTCACTTCAATATAGCAGATGCTGTGTTTTTAATTGTGTCAGCCTGGAAAGAGATTTCTATGAGGTGTCTTTGTGCTGCTTGGAGGCAATTGTGGCCTGAATGTGTGCTTCAAAGAGACTTTGAAGGCTTTGAAGAGTCAGAGGAAGAGGCTGTTGTACATGAAATTGTGTCTCTGGGGAATTCCATGGGCCTGGAAGTGGATGATGATGATGTTGAGGAGTTGGTGGATGAGCACAGTAAGGAGCTGTCCACTGAGGAGCTGCTTGAGCTTCACAAAGAAGAGAACGAGACACTGAAGCGGAGCTTAACTCCTGAGGAGTCGGGAGGATGAGGACAAGGATGAAAGCCGCATCATTCCAGCCAAAGATCTCAAGGATGTGTTCTGGTGCTGGAGCAAACTGTCTAAGCTTGTGGAGGATTATCAACCTGATGTTGGTGCTGTGGAAAAGGGCATCAGTACGTTTAATGACAATGTGATGAACTACTTGTGGAAGGTCCAGAAATCAAGGTTGAAGCAGCCAACCCTGGATTCCTTCTTTAAAAAAGTAGCTAAAGACCCTACAAACAAAGTGCCTGTGAGACAGTCACCAAAGAGGGCTAGGAAGGATGACTCCTCTCCTTCCACCTCTTCTCCATAATTCTCTCCTCCCCCCTCCTCCTCTGCCTCCTGTCCTGCATGCTGAACAACACTAAGGTAAGATAAAGCACCGTATTTTTTACAATTTCCACATAAATTTTTCAGTGTTAAGTGGTTGTATTTGGGAGCCTGGGACGGATTAATCCTATAACAAATGAATGCTATAACGAACGAGGTTCTAAAACCAATTAGATTCGTTATAGCATACCCCACTGTACTGTACTGTATTTTAACTTACTTTGAGGAGTGTATGTCGTACTCCCGGCAGCTTTGTTTACATATCAAACAGCTGATTGTAGAGGCAGTCGATGATGACATGCCATATTTTTTACGGAGTGCATTGGTTCTAATGCCTTCTTCATGTTTCATAATAATTTATGCACTATATATTATCAATATGTTAAACAAATTTCAGAATAACCAATAATTTTAACATAAGAAAAGCAGAAATATTCAAGAGACCAACTTTCTTGATATTTACTTCACTGGAAAAGAATGTAAACATAGAACCGATTACTGTATTGGTGGACTAGCCGATCAGCTGATGCGCACAACAAAACTTGTTTGTTGTAAGGATTTTGTTAATCGAAGTTTTGTTCATTAATCAAATTGAAAATCCTTATGGGAGCTAATTCGTTAACCAAAATTTAGTTAATCTAACCGTTCGTTAACCGAGGGACCACTGTACTACAGTACAGTCAAACATTTTCAATAAAGAATCCTGCAGAATAAAATGTGCCTCAGAGAGGATGAACCCAAATTAGCCT